GACGAAAAGTCTAGGAATGTGCCAAGTCCATGGTCCGACACTGGAAATAATCTTATAGATAAGAAGAGTAACTGGGTTTCGATTAATCTCCTTATGCTTGATTGATAGACTGAAGAAAAGAGAGGGTGTTGAGTTGCAATCAAAAAGAAGACGGTTCAACTTGTCTGCTCAATGAGGGTTCTAACTTCACTCACACTCGTCCAACATGTTAGAGTAAGCTCATCAACCAAACCAGACGTGCCAGATTATGCAGAACCCGTCATGCCTTTTCTTAAGTGGTTGAACGTTAATGACCCTAGACTGAGAGGTTAGGACAGGTAGTTTCGTGATTTGACTTCCACGCTTACATCTCATTATCTCAATCATTATTGTTTACAAACCTACGCAGTCTTGGTCAGGGCTTTTTCTTGGGTCATTAAGTCTTTATAGCCAGAGCCCGACATTAGGCTTTTCTGATCACACTAATTTACGACCGATTTTGCGTATAGACGTTAACACACGTTCACGCGCAAACACAAGCCCACGTACACACTCCAGAAAAAGTAGCAGGACCAATATTACAGAAAATTATCCAAACCATTCTATATCTATCTAGGCTTTTTTATTTTATTTTGCTTACTTTAGTCTATATAAGAGGTAAGATAGAGCCGAATAGCGAGACTTTTACAAGAATGAGTTTCAACTCTAATGATGTCCATGATATGTTGTACTAAAGTTTAGCCCGTTTTGACTCGAAGTGGGACTGTGTCAACCTGAACGTCGAATTAAAGCAAAACGGCTACATTGTAACGGTATTCAGACGTCGTCTTCTGGTGAGATCAACCTACGAATCTCTTCTACATACACTTTCATACGAAATGAATGTCTCCCCGACAAGTATCATGTACACAATTGCAGAAGACTCTAGACAATGTGTGTGTTCACTTAGGTTTCTCTGGCAAGTTGCGAAAAAGAGGTTAAACCACTTCTACGAAACGATAGAAGGCCGCGGCCAGAGTTCAGGCCACTTCATCTTGGCATTCACACATTCGAATCAACCTATTATTAATTTTATTTTTCTTAGTTCTGATAACCTCGTCGAATATGTTTGAACTAGTTAATGCTCCTTATTGAGCCATTGATTAGGTATACACTTTGATATTGCGTATGCAAAATTAAACTATTCTAGGCCTATTTACTATTATAAATGCATGATGGTGCTTTTGTGGTAAATCCGAGTGTCTTATCAAACCAACCCCAGTTTTGTGAATGCTTTTTCATCTAACCGTTTTAGCAACCAAACGAAGGCTATCTGGATCCAAGCAATACTGCTCAGTGCGGCCTGGTCTTTCGCTTTTGTCTCTATTAAGATGCCTGGTATCATAATCAAGTTGATGTTTGGATTCTTTAACTGCTTTCAAGGAACCTTCTTCCTGGTATTTTTCTTCCTCCTGAATGATGAGGTAAATTTCATGCATAACAGATTCAATAATATTAATTTAAAGATTGGTTATAGAGACATCCATCTGTTTATGATGCCTTTCCCTTTGAGGCAAGTATTTGGCAGTCCTTACAAGAAAGTTCCATCAAACCTTTGTCAGTAGAAGCGTAATGAGCGCTTTACTACGAGTGCAATTTGAAGGAGGTCTATAGCTCCATATAGCCTATGCCTCCCTTCAGACTGATTGATGGAAACTGTGCCCTGACAAAAAGTGTGACTTTCTCTGGAAGGGAGGCTACTTAAATAATAGACTCAAATCTTCCCTCTTAATTGTTGTGTGCGATACAACGGCCACTTCTAGTTTGTTCAAGAATAATTGTATGTTTATTTTTCTTTGTTCTAATCAAACACATTTAGCCTAAGTTTGCACTATCCCTTCTCTTTGTCTCAATTAAGAGATCAGCCATGCTAAATAAGCTCAAAGTCAGATATTTCATTTGATTAAGAATGATAGTTCCTTTGGCCCTTACCTTCTTTTTTTGGTGATTAAAGAGACTGTAAATCTCTAATGTAAATCAGATTTGGCCATTTATGACTTTACCACTAATAGCCACACCGCGTCTTATAAATACTTTCAAACCTCTCCATTCATATCGTGGTGCATGTATGTATACTCACATTCATGTGCATTATACATAACAATAAAAGTATCCTTTTGGTTTAAGTCTCCAAAGTTTGTCTGATTGCAGCAAAGAAAAGATAGTTTCTAAATTTGTACTGGTTCTTAGTTCGCAGAAATCAGGAAACACGTTTAAAACAAGATGTCACATGAACTGATGCTCATTTCCACTATGATGAATCGAATAGGGGCTGTAATTTTACATTGAAAGTCACCACTGTATGAGTACAAAAGTGTCGCTATCATCCAGTGTTTAATGAAGGCTGTACTTCACCTCGGTCTTGTTGGCACACACAACGGGATACGGAACTTGAAGATACTTTCTGAATCTTACGAATCTAACGAGTTTGAGTGTCACGAAACATATGAATGAGGACTAAATTGGTTGCTCTTAACTCACACTTCTGTAAGAGAACAGTGTGTCTGCTGTTGAACTCGATGCATCATAACCCGTTGGGCCTGTACTCAGATGAAACTGCTAAATCTCAACAAGTACACTTTTACACTATAGACACGACTAAATATTATGTACCCGAGTTACACTTTATTCTTTTGCTTCTTAGACGCCATATTTCTGCACTCATATTTTTTATGTTTACATAAATATTGTTAACTATTTACGCTCGCCAGAAAGTAGGCTAACTCTTAGCTACTCAAGCCTCAGATAGTTAAATTGCCGATCTAATTAGTCCATAAAGCTAAAAGATAACATCCATCTAGGGCATGCTGACCCCGGCAGTTATGTAAATGTAGCATGGCATTATTTGTCCCCTAGTTTCACTGCAAACAAATTAGTATTTACAATCGTGTCACTCCCCTGATTTCCTTGCAGGTTAGGGCCATTCATCACAAGAGCCGAAAGTATCTGCTCGAGTTCGGAGGCAACCACGAGGAGGACGAGGATGGAGAGGAGACGCACGAAGAAGTCGCCTGGGATGGCTCGTGCTTAACGCCGACACCTCATCCTATCTTATCAGCCTCGGAATCGGGCACCGGACAACAAGAGTCTAGCACCAGTGAGACTGGAAAGCAGCAATTTCTCAGTCCAGTATCGGCGGGACACAGACGCTCATCCATAATGAACAATCCTTTCACAAGAGCCTGGATCATGCGGAAGAGTTTGAGCCATGCAAATAATCCGCTAGCCTCGGGTGAGGCAGCAGGCGGGTTTTCACTGGCTGCGATGAAAAATCAGGAAGCGCATAAAAGTCCCTCGACCGCCACCAATGCAGCTGCATGTGGTCCCGTCGGTAGTCTTGGAGGGACGCTAGATTCTGGAGCCAAGTCAGCTAAGCCAACCCTGATTCATAAGAACAAATTGTACGACATTTTTGCCGGATCAGACAAGAGCATGGCCACTAAGACGGTTGGACGGATGGAGGAGGATCAACACAAGAGTGTCACCGAGGAATTTCAGGTGGCCCAATCACCCAGTTTCCTGCAGTTGACGAGGAAGGCATTGGAAGGAGATAACGATGAGTATGTAGAAGATGCCGAGGCTCCGGTCGAAGAGGATGAGAGACACGATAACGGGGAAGACGCAGAGGCAGAGGAAGAGGATGAAGGTGAACAGACTTATCGACAGGCCTACTCGGAGGATTCTCGGCTCGCAGGTCGGAAGGGGCGGGAATTGGTTAAAGAGGGCCAATTTCTTCGGGAAGCAAAGCCATTCTTGGAAAACACTCCCAACCGATCAAGGCATGTAAAGAAGGGTAAGCCAGGATGGCCAAAAGTTAGGTTGAATTGAGGAAAATTAACAAGTCCTCGATTTACTTTGGCATCCGGTTGGTGGATCTCACAACAGCAGCCCAGATTCAGCCTCAAGGCCTTAGAGCTTTCCTTACGTTCGGCACCAAGATGTCTACTAAAAGTCTCCCAGTGACTGAGTGAGATTTATCTCTCCATGACGCATAATTCCAATAGAGATACTGCTTTTAATTGCCAAACTTATAGTGGATTTAGTGTGATTTGTTGGCAAAGTAAGTCTACCTCGTGGCTACTTAGGTCGATAACTTCCTAAAAACTCATTTGGCGGCGAATGGGTTTTCCTTGCACACTGCTTATTTTCAAGATTTGGCCTGAGGGTGCATGGCTCCGTGCCAACGAAGTGTAAGCCAGACAGGACATTTAAAATGAGGCCAACCTGTTACATGAAGATATAATGACTGTGGCTCGAATGATTTTATAACTGACCAGGACCTATTATCAAGAGGGGCTAACTTCACGTGCTGCGTTTGTCATATATTTCGTTAGTATGCCATCTCTTCATAGTTTATAAATTCATTGCTTAATATTTTCACATTACATGGCTTAGCGTTCTTACCTATTCATAGTTCGTAAGCTTACCATGTTTTCTGGTTAGTCTTCGTATGTATATTCTCTTTAGAATTTGTCACTGTTATTTTTCTCTATCTATATGTCCATTAGTTATTTGTCGCAGCCAATCTGATTTTCACTATGGCTTCCTTGTGTAATCTTTCTTAAGAATTTGTAAACGCCCGAAAATTCGTGCTAACTCGCAAAATAAAATGAAGCTTTGCATCACTGCCACTTTTTTTCCCATATCTTGCCAATTAGACCCTAAAACAGTCCAACTTAGACAGTTGCCTACGGCAAAATCACTTGGGGCCAGACCATGCTCGGTCTCTAATAGATAGGTAGAGCCTATCGACTCTAATGGTTATTAAAAAATAAAAGCTTCAACAAATACCTTGAGTAGACTAAATGGTAACTAAATGGTTTTGAGTGATAGACTATCTGGTGAATAAGGTAACTGTTAATACTCTTTAATTAAGTAATTTGTTGGATTTTTCATTAGTCCTGCTTCGAAAGGTATAAATATAGGCAAGAGCTAGGTAAAATTTAATACCTTTTTTTTATACTAATACTAGGGAATAGAGATGAAAGTTTCGAGGGAATGTTAAAGTGGGTATTTATTCTGTATGCATGACTGGGGAAAAATTTGAACGAAAAAAGTTACTCACTTACATACTACTTATTTCGTTACTTTAGTAAGATGTAGTATAAATAAAAATAAAGATTAATCGAGGGCTAGTTTAAAGATTTTATGGATAAAATTCTTATCAGAGAATATACATTCCCTCATCAATATAAACTTTCAAATATACTAAGTGGTCAAATAAAATTAAAACAACAAATAAGAGTTCCACAATATGCTTACTTTAAACAGATGCGTTTTTTCAAAAAAAAGGTTAATGTTGACTAATACTAGGGCATCGGCTAGAAGTACAAGTGTTGCCTTAGCTTTACTTGATAGCCTCCATAGTTGATATAAATACTAATGATCCTGTCTGAAAATTTGCACCACTACGTTTCTAGCCAGTTGAGTAACCGCCCAAACGAGTTTATATTCAATAATCATTGGTAGTCTTAAGTCCAACTTACAAGGGAAATAAGTGAGATCGTCAATTGTAATTGCAAATATGTTTACTTAATCGATAATCCCACCATGAATCTGATTTGAATGAAATCGTGCTTGCATTGAAAGTCACACCTGTTGACTGGCCAATGACATTTGCGGCTGTGTAATGAAAAGGTAAGGTTAGTAAGAGGTAGGTGAGATCAAAACTGTAGTCCAACCTGGATCAGACATTCCTTTGGGAGGCGAGGTTAAGTGAAAGTTAGTAATATCATGAGGCTTGTTTGTTTTATTAAAGGAAAACTCATCTATGAGTCCTTTAATCATCTTAGACTTATTCAAGAATTACTGATCATCTTAAGATATCCTGATTGGAACTCAATCTGATGATTGAGGCATTGCGTTAATTTTTACATATTATGAGCTCAAAATGCTGGGATATTGCTAACTCTAAAATCTGAACTACTTTTGAACAGAATACTAGTCTACGCTAACACAACCTATTGATTACATTATAATAATATTTTATATCGGCTATTCAATTACTATTAGTGTAACAGTCGTAAAAATTCTTTCATGGAAATTTCTAGGTTCCATATACTTGTCTTTATTGGTTACAAATATACCAGGATATTTCATTCGCCACGCAAGCATCATTATTTACATTAATTATAAATATGGGCATGTTTTTGAGTTTTTAGTATATCATAAATTGAAGAATTGCATTCGTATATTTACTTCTTCCGTTTTCCTTTATTAACAGTGGATAAAGTAAAATTTAAGTCTAGACTTTGGAACTTATATTGAGTATAGTTTGATCAATCTATAACTATAATTGCGTAGTCTCTATTTAAGACCAACACTATTTGACCCCTTTATTTGCTTTACTTCATGTATTAGAAACTTGCATCTTGGTTCTAAAATAGTGTTGAGGATTCCTTAAATAATTTTAGCTTACTAAAATAACTAAGGTACACATATATACCAATTATAAAGAAGTAAAACCCTGCACAAAATCAATGCATGGAAATCCTCCTCTCCCTAGGTTTAAAATCCACCACTAAGTTATCCTATTTTTGATCCCCACCCACATTGTGTCCCATTCTTTGGGGCCCTGTGTCCAAATTAAATCATAACCGCTGGTATGAAAATGCGCCAATTCCCTTTTTCTTATCTTGAATCGCGAAAAGCACAGTTTTCTTGTCCTTTAAGTTGACACTCCTATCTAATCCTAGGGTACTATGATGTGAATGTGCGTGTTGGCTCATTCACCCGTGGGCAAGCATGTCACCAGTCACCTAGCATTAAGGCATACACACGAAAAATGCACACAAGCATACAAGTTCTTTTATAAGCCTCCTCATGTTTTAGCATATGCTAATTATATCAGGATTGAATATGGCTATTAGTTTAATATTTTTGCTACATTAGACCATTAAAGCGTATCCTTATACTTTCAGAAAATATTAAAACCAAGCTGTATTAAATAAAAAGATATCAACATTAGCATACTAATCCATGTCAACGGATCATTGCAATATTCTGTTTGATTATCAGGATGCTGCCAATATACTTCTTTGTCCTTCCATGACCAACTCATTTAGCCACTTTACTTGTATCTATGGCTTCATCAAATCTAATATTATTTACCATCGCCTCAGTTTGTTGAAGAAAATATTAAATGCTTTCTGATCAGCTAACCAAAAATCTAATGAAAAGGTGGCTCTGCTGTAGAGAACCATGGAAAATAGGAGGGCCTTTTGGAAAGTTAAAGCACCTGTCGATTAGTCTGAAGAATTGTCTCCTTTCTAACAGGGTAATTTCGCAGAATTTGAGATAATGGATAGATTATACTAGTTGCAAGATAAAACAATTATAAAAGCTTAGAATTTTTCAATATTGCATGTTGTAGGCATTGCATTCTTTATTGTGTACAAGCAGCTAGTCTGGCAAAAGCTGGCAAGTTCAAATTTCTTGAACATATATAAATGATTAGTAGGGATACCTGAATTATTTACAAATCTTGTGATTAAGAAATAGATGTCAAAAGAATTTATCATATTTGGTCGCAAAAGATCCACAAATGAGCTTACAACAATAATACTCCTCCGAATGCAGTTTAAAATATCTCATCGGTTATGAATCCAGACTGGTTCTTAAAGTTTATTTAAGCTGATCATATTTGGAGTCCACCAACTCTAACGAATGATCAGTAAATAACTTACTCCTTTGAACGTAGCCTTACGTTACCATTTTAAACCAATCCAACCATTGCTTAATCTGGCTTGCTAACCTAAGTTCGACATTTTTTCTGACTTGTCATCACTTTTAAAATTGTCAAGAAACTGTTGTTCGTTAACTTTCAATTATATTGTTTTTAAAGTCTAACTAAACGATAATGCAGAAGATCGGGAGATCAGAGGCCGATACGTGCTGCGCAAAATGAAAGGCTATTTAATAAATATAAATGCCAAAATAAATTTCCTGATAACTGGAACTCAATGTATGTAGGGGCTGAAAGTGGTCCGTGAAGAGAATGAATGGGAAGAAGTAGTGGTGTATGCTGGTTGACTAACATTCCCTATCTTAATATAACCTTCAGGTAAGACGAAGATGCTTTCTTGTGAATGGGAGCTTTATAAATTGTAAACGGAAGATTAATCGACTGTGTGACTAGCATTATGCTCCTCCTGATTCACAGGGAGCTCAGTCGTAACAAATTTGGGTAAATTATGCAGCAATAGGAAGGAAAGTCCTTCGATGCCTAAACTTGTCGTGCATACGTATTTAACTGTCCTTCGTAAACACAGGATACGTAGTCATCCAGGACTTTATATGCAAATGACCTTGTTAGGATGCAAATAAAGGCGCGCAGATTACTCGTAGAAAAGTAACCCGAGAATGCTGTATTGCTAAGTCAAGTAAAAGTCCTGTAGCTCGTAAAGGCTTGATTAAAAAAATTTAGAGAGTAGAGGATGAATTTGAAGCCAGATTAGAAGTGGCAGTATAAATCGAATGCTTTCTGAGCATTGAAGGGTGCATCAATGCCATTCAGATGGGGTGCAATCATGAACGGTCTTGTGGGTAAACCACTACCAGAAGACCTTATTTTATTGGATTACATATTGTAACCGGAGTGAAAACAAACAACCAATGAATACAGGATTATAAAATCGTTTGTCTTAATATACGTTTACTGTCATGATCACTTGGCTTTACAGCTGGCAAGCCTGGCTAGAGAATCAGAGACCTTCATCATTTAGAACTATCTTTTCTGCTTCAGATCAATGCGTGGCGTTCCTTCCACTCACCCTAATGTCGAATATTATCAAAGTATACTTCCTTTCACTTAGTCATTGGTTCATATA